CTATATACATCAGCATTATATCATTTAAAGGTTTGTTAGCATTTTTTTTCACCAAAAGTGACATTAAATAAACTTATAACATTACAAAATGAATATTTATGAACTTCTTATTCATCAAAGAATGATTTTTTTAAACAAAAATATTAATCAGCACAACTGTTTTCAACATTGATAATAATAAGAAAGGTTTCTTGAGCTCCAAATCAGCATATGATTTCTGAAGGATCATGTGACACTGAAGACTGGAGTAATAGCTGCTGAAAATTCAGCTTTGTCATCACAGGGAATAAATTACATTTTAAAATACATTAAAATAGAAACAATTATTTTAATTTATAATAATATTTTGGTGTGCATTGCTGAGCATGTTATTTCAAAAACATTAAAAAAAAAAATTAACCAACCCCAAACATTTGAATGGTAGGCTAATGTATAGTATAGTATAAGTAAGACCTATTTATACTGTCTGAAAAAAAAGTGTGATGCTACACAAAATTAAATATTTGGCTTTAGTATTGTTACTGTATTGAAGCCAAAGCAAATATTAAATATTAAAAATAAATATTAAATATTATATCTGGCAATATCTGATAATAGATCTAATAAAATCTGGAAAATATAAAGACCTTATTTTAACTCGCTATTAGAGTAATGTTAGTGTGAAAATTAAAAAATGTTTCTCTCTCAGTAACATGCAACTGGTCTGCATAAATATATATTTACATTGTGCTATCAGATATGATTGATTTGATATAAAACGGCAAAGGGAAAAAATGAAACAAACAAGTAATTATGACATTGTGTCTAATGCCTCATTTGTCTGTAGTAATCAACAACTTGATTTCCCTTATGGTTGATGTAGCCTACACAGCGGTTTTCAACCCAGGGGGGCGCAACAGTGTACGATGATTTACGATTAGCCGTGTCGGAAATCCAACCACGGACTGGCATGTTATTATCTCAGAAACAGCCTCAGCCATCACATTGAATCAGGTAAACTGGTTATATATTTATGTTTCAGTATAATTACGCACGCTATACCAGGGGCGGTTCTAAACCCTTTTTAGGTGGGTTTCAGCCCCCTATCTGTCACCTTAGCCCCCCAAAACTATCTTAACGATCAGGCCAGTGCTGCTTCCTCAAGAAAGTTTTTCATTCTCATGTGTTTTAAGTCTTGTCAGTTTAAACATTAAAGTAATTTTAAGCCATTTAAGCCCAAGACATCTCAGTGCGGTACGCACGCATGTCCTAAAAGGTTGAAAACCCCTGGCCTACAACACTGAATAGTTGAGTGCATATCATCATAGTGTGAATACAGCAGTGGCGAGCGGTGACTTTTTTAACCTGGTATGCTGAGTGATAAGATCCCACCCCCACTTAGGACACTCAAAGCTCAAAAGGGATCACAGATGACAAATAATAAACACAGTGGCAGGTATCGATTTAAAAGTATGAACATTTCCTACCTTATTTGTAAATGAAATTCATCTCCAATCCTTCTTCTATCATTTCAGGTTTATCCATTGTTATTCGAATGCAAGAAAAATATAGCTGGTTTTCCAAGTAAAAACCGCCAAATAAGGTTTACACGTAGTTATGTTATGATACGTAATCAGAGGGTGGGGAGATGGGGGGATTCCCCCGGTCTATGTCTCCAGATATCTCTGCATCAGCTAAATTATTTTTTTTATTCACAGTGAATAGGACTTTAAACTCCCACCCGGGTGACATAACAGACCATGCAAAATACCCAAAAGTATTTAAAATATTGCAAAGTAACGTTGCAACCATGCAAACAATAATAAAACCAGAGAAGGACTTCAACTGTAAGCGACGACTCGAGCATACGCAAAACCTTAGCCTTAGAGGCCCCCGACCTAGAGCGTCGCCTCGCCCCAGCTGTCTCGACACGGGGGAGTACGCGAGGCCACGCTCTGTTTTTGTATGAGGAGCCGGTACCCGGAGGGGGCTGCTGGGCGGGAGCAGAGCTAGAGCTAGGGTTCAGAGCTAGAGAGCGGCGAGGGAGAAACCGCTGGAATGCCGCCGCCTGTTTACGGGCCTCCTGGTACCTGTCGACGACCGAATTGACGGCGTCGCCAAACAGGTCAGAAGGCGCAAGCGGGGCGTCCATTAGGCAGTCTCCTTGGTGGCGCGGAGAGACAAATCAGCGGTTCTCCTGAGCTCGGTAATATCCTCTGATTTTACCTGCTCACCCTCATCTAGCTCCTTCAGCAGGTCGGCTTGGTACGCCTGTAACACCGCCATGGTGTGCAGACACGCACCAGCCTGACCCGCTGCCGAGTACCCTTTGCCCACCAGCGCTGAGGTTGTGCGCAGCGGCTTGGAGGGCAATGCCGGAGCCTTTAAAGACGATGCCACGCCGGGAGACAGATAGCTCGCAAGCGTCTGCTCTACCCGGGGCATCGTCTTATAACCGCGCTCTTTCATCCCCGCCACATCGCCATAATGATCGGAGGCGGGAACGAATAGGCGGGCCGAGAATGGCCTTCCCCACGACTTCGACACCTCGGTGTGGAGGTCGGGGAAAAAAGGCAGGCTCCGGCGCGGAGGTGGTGGCTTAACACGCAGAAACCGCTCGTCTAGTTTACTTTTCTCAGCCATTTTCTCAGCGGGCCACTCGATATTTAATTTGGCCACGGCACGAGTTACCACCTCCAAAAGCTCCTCATACTGGGGCGATTGAGGGGGCGAATCCTCATCGATGCCCACCACATCAACCTCCTCGGAGGAAGACAGGCGGAGCGGCAGTCAGCTCTCTCAAGAGCCGACTCAGCATGCTCCGCTCCCAGGCAGACAACGCACAGGCTGTGTGTATCCCCACCCGTAATGAAACGCGGGCAGGGAGGAACACACAGTCTGAAACGCTGCCCACCTTCGCCCCTTAACTGGTGTTTCCTCTTTTCATGTGCTTTTGACATTGTATCCTATTTTTCTTTATTTTCTATGGGACAGACAACACCAAATAAGACTCACAACTGACACACACACAGAGCGCTTGCTGAATGACAGAAAGCTGACGCTGGTCTCACCGCACGTGCTTTTATAGCTTCCTGGTCATTACGTCACCCGCCCGTGACGTCTCGCCCATCTATTGGTCTGATTACACACGGGTCACGCTAAAGGGCGTTCCCGAAGCGTCTTCCGACGCAGCTCGAGTTCCTGAAGAGGAAATGATGTTTGTTATTATTAAAATTTTAAATAGCCCACGTTTTTATAAACTTTTTTTTTTTAATTTACCGCTTAGGCAATAACGTTGACAATAACGTAGGCTGTATCTTCAACATACATTGTCTATGACCAAAAATGTAAGTTGTTCAGTGGACTTTGAAAATTTGCTTTGCTTGAGAAAATAAAAATATACAGTTAGTGTTTTTTTTTTTTCTTTTGATTTAGTCGAGTTGGTTTTGCATCAAACACAATGTGATTATCGGCAATCGAGATCTGACAGCAACAGCGCATTTTTTCGCTTGAGCGAGCACTTCAAGAACAGTTTACCTCGCGCATTAAATCTGCCGCAGACCAGCACATCACTGAGAACGCGCTATAATCCTGACGAGTCATAGCAACAGAGCGGAGGCGAGAAAGCTGCAGAGAATCCGCACGCCCGGAAGCTACCGCAACTGACAGATTTACAGAAAATTACTGCCGTTTGGCAAAAAAATAATTTTACGTACTTATTCCTAACTCTTTAAATTACATTTCAAATGACAAGGGATCAATTTATAATCATGTTTATATGAATTATCCCGTGAATTTATTCTCTCAAATGGCCTGGGTATGCGGAGCATTCGCAGTTTATATGGACGGGACGCCACTGGAATACAGGTGTGTAACATCACGCAGGTCTGTTTGTTTTCTGATGGGACTGGCAGAGGTGCAGCTGTAGAGATCTCTCTCCAGATTACAAACATCCTGAGGGAGAGAAACCACTGTGCTATCAGGACCACTCGTGTTGTTCACTAATTCATTTTCTTTGTACCAAGTTTCAGAAACATGGAAGTAGCCAAATGTCACCATGCTCAACTCTCACAACCCACATCACAGTCTTCTCTAGTTATAGCATATAGTTTATAGTTTTGTCCAGGTTTTATGATCATGACACCATCTTTTTCACTTTTTAGCACTGGTTTCTGTGATTCAAATTTTATCACTTGCAGCACTTTCATGAATGTTGGCTTTGTGAAGTTTTCCTGGAAGCAGGATCTTCCAGGTGAATATTGAGATTTGCTGTCACTTTTGCTGCAGTAGTTCTGTGTTATTTGGACACAGTCCTTCTTAGTGTTTAATGTCCCTATCATTCACTCTCATGTTTTCACCCACTATTTTTCTTCATGAAGTCTAGCCAAGCTTTGTGTACACAGTCAAAATTGTAGCCTACACAATTTATATTAACCCCTATAATAATGGTTAACATTACTTTGTCCAAGCCCTGTAACAATGTGTATTATTTTGCTTGATGAGGTCACAATCACAAATCACAAGTCATCTGTGCTGTTGTTCCTGACAAGTGTTTTAATGTGATTCACTTATTGGGCATTTGTTCACTGTGTTGTCCATGTCAATACCATTGGTAGCTGATGTCCTTTGAAATTACAACCGCAATCAAACAAGGTCAGTTTATCATCACAGATTAATAAAAACATTTTTAGATTTTTTTTATTTTAGACAGTTTTAGATTTTAATAACTGGTGCTTCAGCTCAAAACAAACAAATACATTTGACAAATTTCACATGAGACAAGATTTTTTTCTGTAGAGTCAGAATATGTTTAATAAAAATAATTAAACCTCAATTTCTTCTATAGAACTTCATAGAAAGTAATTCAATAAATTACAAACTTTTTAAGACATGTATCCTGCACTACAAGAAGCATTAATTGACTACACAGGCCACAACTTGCAAGTATTGCAGCTGTCCAAAAACACATTTTAGCAAAAAAAAAATAAAAAAATAAAAAAAAGGGAGGGGCTTTACTTCCAAAATATTGAAAATATGAAACAAAATAAGCCATGGAAACATATGAGTCTGTCAATTCAATCATTCACATAATTGAAAACAAACGTTTATTTGCAGTAGTGTATTTCTATTTCATTTGCTGTTGCATGATGGATGTCATTGTCTTTGTGCCACAACGGCAAATCTTGCCCTGATTCTGGTCAGTAGTCCAGCGGTTCATAATGCAACATGAAATACAACCAAAATATTGAATTAATGTACATATGATAAAAAAAGAAAGAAAATCGACATAAATGTCCAATTCTCAGTCAAACCTGCAATTCTTCTCAGAACATCATTCAGTTAAATGAGATGCTAACGCTGTCAAAAAAAGAGGATCTATATAAGTTTCATGTGCGGTTTTGGGAAGAAGTGGAAAGCAGCAATACCTGTACACAGTTTCAAAGTGCGTGGCTCAGCACGAACTAACTGGAAAGAGGGAGCTCTGATGCCACAGTGGAGAGGAGATGGCATTCAGAACATCTAATGAGGCAAAATTACACTCAGAGAGATAAGAGAGAGGGCATCTGTGTGAAAACATGAATGAAATCAAACATGCTTGGAAAGACCATTAATTGTGTTCACTAGTGAGACAGGCAAAGAGAGTTGCATTGTGCAGTGCATCCCGAAGAAATTTGCATCACAAATGGAAATACTTCAGTAGCCGAACCTGAATATGAACTAACGTGACGCAGCAGAGACTCGCATGAATCAAATGAGCCTAACAGTCTAGAACAAGCACATCAGCACATGTAACAGAAATCAAATCACATACACGTCCTGATTCAAAACGCCAATGAGGTTCATCGTGTTGGCCGAGGTGCTGGATTGCGACGTATTATGAGGGACAGACACTGAAGTATGGCATAAGGACACTTCTAGATCAGTCATTTACACCTAACAGCAGCGAGGCGACTACGTGGATCTGCAAAATTACAGACGTATTTTGTCAGACTAAAGGAACGTGTGATTTTTGACCTTTATAACATTTAACAACCCTACTATCAATTCTGAGGACTTCATGCGCACTGATCAAGTAACTGAAATGCTACTGCAAATGCTTGAATTCCTCTCAATTTTACCAACTAATATGACAATACTGTAGCAGTCTGTGGAAAAGAGAGGCTATACGCACTGCTGTTTGTCACAAGGGGGTTTATATGTGAGGCCAACAGGACCTTGGACACATAGATTTTCATGCAAATTGAGGCAACAGTGTTCATATGCACAGAACATCACTCACACACACACACACACACACACACACACACACAGTGCTGTCTGAACGCTAAAAGAAACATGAATATATGGATGTGAAAGAAGTGGTCTGAAAAAGAACCAAGAGTTATGTTTGCCGGAAACATGCACGCACACCGATTTCAGGCATTGTAAGGAATGTATTCCTAAAAGAATGTCTGGATCACTGTAGACGTCACTGTACAGCAAGATGGATCGCCTGCACCCATGTACAAAACTCAAATCTTTGGGTAAAATAGCTGTATGAAGAGAATTTAAAAGAAAGAAAGAAAAAGGAAGAAAGAAACAAATGGAAAGGAAAGAAAGGAATAAAATAATAGAAACAGTAAAGAAAGAACAGACCTTGGGCAGGATGCAGTGTGTCTGGGACAGTAAACAGATGCACAAATCCCAAGAGAAGTGAATGAACAAGAACTTGTGTGATGGATAAATGAATCAATGAAAGAACGAACGAACGAACGCAGGGTCTCTACAGCTTCAGTGACATTCATAAGCTGCCTGTGTGTTATTGCTGTGGATCTGTAGGTATGCTCTGTGAAGTCTGTGTGTTCAGGATCCTGCTCAAGTATTTACAAATGAAACCCAAACAGTCGATGTGTTCTTTCTCCCAAAACAAAATATATTAATTATACAGCTCTGCAATGAGCAACAGCATCCTCATTTCTTTAATAAAATTAAATCCTGACATAGCTATAACAATAATGCCTTTTAGTTTTTGCTTCTTGTCTGTTGCAATTTTACATCATGGTGTAATACAATTTCACAAAGTTTTTTTTTTCTTTTCCCACATGCAAAACGTCTCTTCGAAACGACATTGTACCTAAACAAACACTGAAATCTCATTTCTGTTTCTCTAGGATCTCCGTTTTCTGTTTGTTTGTTTTTTCATCTTCATTACACAACACATTATTTATTATATTTACATGGAAACAAAAACATGATGTAGTAAATGCAGGATAACTCCTATATGTGTTTATATGTATACATTTCTAAGAGATGTATATAAATATATAATATTTATTTATACATGTATAAAGACTCAGTCTTCGTCGCTGGAATCGGAATCCTCGGATGACGAGGAGGAGCTGTCGGACCCGGAGGAGGATGACTCTGCCTTGGCCGAGCCCTCTGGACCACTGGTATCCTTCTTTTCGTCTGGCTCCTCCCCATCATCGCTGTCTTTGTCCTCTGAGTGGCTGGGCAGCTGGGCCGTGGCTTCAGAGGCAGCAGTTTGCAGCGGTGGGGTTGGCTGAGTGTTTGCAGCTTGCGGCTGATTGGCCACAGGCAGGTTAAGGCCTGGAGTAAGAAGCATCCCTGGGTAGAACATACTAGAGAGGAGAAGGGGGTTGAGGGCCAGTGAGTGGCCTGAAGCAGAAGCACTTGTTTGATTTGTGTTGGCGGCCATCGAGGTGGTGGCTTTGGAGCTTTGACCCTCTGTCCTTTCCGCTTTGCCATTCGGACTCAAAGTCTCAGCCGGCCCTTTGGGTGTGTCTTCTTTTTCCTGTCCTCGTTGCTCGTCAAAGCCACACCCGCCGCTTCCTGTTTTCCAAGGATACCACTCATTCCGAGGAGGTTCGGCAGCCCGGTCATTCCAGACAGCATCATCGGAAACATGGCGGCCATGTTGGTGGGGTCGTGAGGCAGTCCCATGAGGCCAGTGGTGAGTTGGAGAGACTGGAGGCTCTGGAGGTTGTGCTGAAGAGCTTGAAGACTAGGCAGGTCCAGCCCGGCGAGGAGGCCGTTTGTTAGGAGTGGGTTGAGCCCCAGGGCGGCGTTGGCACTGGGACTGGCCACAGTGGCTGCTTTAGCCAAAGCATTTTTGGGACGTCGACCTCGTCGGCTCACTTCTTCAGGAACGATGGGGCCGGTCAGGATGCGGTCAAACATACTTTCAGGAAGGTAACCCTGGAAACACAAATTCATCTGTTATGTAAGTAGGAAAAAAAATCCATAAAGTTTTAGTTAATATATGGAGTTTAATGTTTCCTTAAGGTTTTGTAAAATTATAATCATATTTTAGGGCTGTCATCATTTTCATTACACAATTATTGTGGCCAAAAGAATCCACGATAATGTTAATATTACGACAACTATAGAAATATAATATATATATATATATATATATATATATTGCTATCAGCCAAATTCATTTAGCGTTTTCTCATTTTTTGGCCACTGAAAAACTCAAAATATGAGTGTATGAAGGTGGACAGAGAGGTTGTAACCATAACTGTACAAAAAGAACTTAGTGTTGATCGGCACTTCCTGCAGACTGGGGTGACTAACACCACAAATTCGGCTCACTTCTTCAGGAACGATGGGGCCGGTCAGGATGCGGTCAAACATACTTTCAGGAAGGTAACCCTGGAAACACAAATTCATCTGTTATGTAAGTAGGAAAAAAAATCCATAAAGTTTTAGTTAATATATGGAGTTTAATGTTTCCTTAAGGTTTTGTAAAATTATAATCATATTTTAGGGCTGTCATCATTTTCATTACACAATTATTGTGGCCAGAGGTTGTAACCATAACTGTACAAAAAGAACTTAGTGTTGATCGGCACTTCCTGCAGACTGGGGTGACTAACACCACAAATTTTTTATGAAATCCAAAAAACTCCCACACTGACAAGCTTACTTTTATGGGTGTGGGTAGAATGTCTCCTTCAACGTGATTTAGTGTGGCAACAGTAGCTACACACTGTGTAGTTGTCTTCTTTCTGACAGGTGGTAGCCAGCATTACCCGGTGCTGGATTATTTACAATATTATCTTATGTGTAGTACTAACACAATATTATTTATTTTTTAAAATACTATGGTTATTGTCATACCAGTATATTGCGACACTTCTAATTTATGTTATTGCGCTGTATTTGGAATGGAAAATGTTTCTCTTTTTACTCACAGACTGTTTAACAACGTCAGCCCACTCTGGTGGGACCCCATACTCTGGATTCTCCTGCAGGAACCGGCTTAAATCTTTCAGAGGAGGAGCAAATGCACCACCAATCTGGAACAAAGAAATATAAAACAAGAATTACAAACACCAAAAAAAATCTGTCCACAAAATCTATAGCCATCACATACTTACCTTGCGAGCATTTCGCCTGTTGATGATCTGTACTCGCTCTTCTCCAGTCAGGCTGTTGATGTCAATTTTGTTGGGGTTTCTGCAGCGATGTCTCTTCTGTTTTGGTCTGTCATCTTGAAACTGCGGCTTGTTTGCACTCTGCAAAAAAGTTATGATCAGAAACTTATTCTTACGAACAGCCATCTGAAAGGATAACTTGTTTATTTTTTTAATGGTATTTACAGGAATGAAAGCTCCAACATCTGCCACGAAGCCTGGGTGTTCTTTTAGCCACTGGTCAAGATCTTTCCGTTTTGGAGCATCTTCTCCAGCTAGTCGCGTCCCATCTTTGAGGCTAATGACGGGAACGCGACTATCTGTATCAAGGGTGCTAAGCCCCTGAGGTGTGCTCAGTCCAGGGGGAGCGGATGTACTGGCAACACTGCCACTCCAGCCAGCAGGAGCCTGCAAATGTAGGTCATGCGTTTGCCTCATTGATACTGAAGTGTGCCACTTTCTAGATTTCTAAATATAAAATGAAAAAGTAAAAAAAAAAAAAAAGGTCATAAGTGAGTC